CCCCACCTCAGATCCTGCAAATCCCCCGAGACCCTGCAGAGCCCACCACAGATCCTGCAAAGCCCCCGAGACCCCGCAGAGCCCACCACAGATCCTACAAAGCCCACCTGGGACCCCACCTGAGATCCCAGCTTTCCTGCTATGCTAATAGTTGAACATGTCAAAAGCTGAATGCAATTTGTGCACTGTATCCAGCGATTGACAAGGATACGCAAAAAGTCAAAAAGAGGAAGGGGTGGGGGAAATTTAGGTGGGGGCACCAGGCTTCATCTTGCCTAGGGCAGCCCCAAACCAGAATACACCACTGGTTATGACGGTATACTTGAAGCCTCTTGTCTCATTTCTCTCTGTGTCTTCTGTTGGTACACATGCATGGCACACTTTGGCTAAAGTGTTAGACTGCTGAACCCTAATGTAGAAAGCATATGATCCCCATAGGCTTTGAAGGACAGCCTTTCTTCAGACGGACTTTTGATATTACCAATGCTGCTCCTAGTGGCGAGAGCGTTGATCTTCCTCAGCAGAAAAAGCCTTTAGAGTACACCGCAAAGTCTTCTCTTTAATGGTTAAGAAACATTTCTTTCCTTTCACCACCCCCTGGACCTCCTCATCGAGACAGCCCCAAGCTTGGCTCCTAGTCCCTCCACATGGTCTGGCAGTGCTTCTGCCCAAACCTCAGAAAAGCCTTCCTCTGTAAAAAGTGGCGGAGCACGTTCATACAGCGTGTAAAGAATACTGCAGCTCACGTGCAGAAAAATGCTTGAGTTTGTCAGGGAATTACTCAAAATGCCCCCCGCCCCAAACCTGCCTCTCTAGCGCATTCTTTCTTTATTTTACCTTGTTCAGGGAATGATAAACCGCTTTTATTTCTCCTCGTGATGTCATCACCAGACTTGTAATATTCTTGCAGGAAGATCAGCAGCTACTACTGATGCAGGCTGCCCTGCAGAACGCTACCAGTGCCAGCCTGCCCTTCAGAACGCTATCTCCCAAGGTCCCCATTTCCGGTGGACAGGCTCTTGGCAGATTTCTTTTTTGGAAAAGAAATCAATGGAGTGGAGAGGGGTGGGTACAGGTGGGGTTCTCCAAAAGTCAGGTGACAACACCGTTTGGAATTGTACTACAGCATTCCCACAGACACACTCCTAAACCTTGTGGACGCCTTCCCAGAAGAGTTGAAGCTGTTATAGCAGCAAAGGGGGGGCCGACTCAGTCCGTAGGGCTCAATATTAAGACTGGGATGCCATTAAACTTCATGTGTGTAAAGGCAGGGGTCCCAATACTTTTGGCTATATATATATATATATATATATATATATA